TCAATGATATTTGCCACAATCATTATCTTTTTACCAACGTTTGTTTGCTTATTCGCCGAAGTTTGTTGCAATTTTTTGTCAATGTTTTTGTGCTTGTTTGCTAAGATTTGTGTGATTATTTCCCAATTTTTGTGGGATTGTTGCCGACGTTTGTGTGATTTGTTTAATTGTGATTTCCAAAGTTTTTGTGAGTATATGCCGCCGATATTGTCATCATTTGCTAATATTGGTGTAATTGTTTGCCAAAAAGTTTTGTAATGATTTTCTCACATTCGTGTGATTGTTTGCCAATTTTAGATTGACTTATATGCCAACGTTTTGGTTAGAGTTTAATTATTGATCTTTGGGGTAACTGCTGACCTCTTATTTAGTTTTATTGACGTTGTATCTTATTGACGATTTACGGAAGTTAACTAAGTAGTAACAATGGCTAATATTGGTCAACAGTTTAGCCCAATCACCAAATGGCTGCACAACCCTCATATAAGTCATACGAATTGTAAGATTGGAGGAATATCTAAACTTGTTTTTTCTAGTACTGTGTTGCAACCGATATTCTGATACAGTTTTCATACACGAATACATCAGAAGGATTTTAAGTTAAAAAAAAAATCAACAATAACTCTAAACGGATGCTGCATGGCACGTGCAGGGTGCATATTGTTCTGCCCTTGTGGTAATTGTTTCGCTCGTGTGGTTCATTGTTTTGCTCCTGTGTGGTTCATTGTTCCGTTCCTGTTGTTCATTGTTCCGCCCCATGATTCATTTTTCCGCTACTGTGGTTCATTGTTCCGCCCCTGCGGTTCATTGTTCTGCCCATGTGGTCAATGGTTCCGCCCCTGTGGTTTTCTGTTCCGCCCCTGCGGTTAATTGTTTCGCCCTTATGGTGAATTGTTCTGCTCCTGTGGTTCATTGTTCCGCCCCTGTGGTTCATTGTTCAGCCCCGGTGGTTCATTGTTCATCCCCGGTGGTTCATTGTTCCGCTCCTATGGTTCATTACTCTGCCCCAGTTGTTCATTTCCCGCTCCTGTGGTTCATTGTTCTGTCCCAGTTGTTCATTGTTCCGCTCCTGTGGTTCATAGTTCTGTCCCAGTTGTTCATTGTTCCGCTCCTGTGGTTCTCGAGGTTTTGATAGTTTTATATAAACATAGTTAAAACCTAAATTACTCTCTCTCTATGACCGGTGGGAAGTATTTTGTAATGTGAAGTGTTTTATCTGCTACCTACTGTAATGTCTATGGGAGCAGACGATGGCGACACAACACAAACCTATTTTGCCTCATTTTCTGGTAACTTCCGGTAAAATTCTGTATCGGGCATACTACATGAGAGTTTGTTTTCAACTTTGGTTATGTACTGTGAAATGCCATTTCCTGTGCGCGTGTACGTCACTTTCTGCAACGCTGTCCGTCAGTCCTTTATAAACTTTCGTTTTACGAGTGTTTATTACGTTGTTTGCATACGTTTGGGAAAGTGTAAGTCATTAGTGATAGTGTAGGTTTGGATGGTTTTCAAGTAACGACAATTAGTCGTCAAGAAACGGAGTTCTGTGGCAGAATGGTTATCAAAAAGCAATTGTGTTTTTTAGTTGTTGTAAGGTATTTGAGATGAGTTGTGACATTTGCCAAAAGTAACAGTGATTGGATATGGGATTGGTGGTCAAGTTGAGAGATTGGATGTCAAGTTATTGATATTGTTTACAATATTTGGTAGGTACCAGGATTTTATTGTGAGATTGGTAGTCAAGTAATGGAGATTGGTTGTCAAGAAATGGAGATTGTTGTAGAGATTGGTTAACAAGTAATGGAGATTGGTCGTCAAGTAATGGAGATAGGTTGTCAAGTAATGCAGATTATTGTTGAGATTGGGTGCCAAGTAATGGATATTGCTTGTCAAGTAATGGAGATTGGTTGCCAAGTAATGGGGATTGTTGTGGAGATTGTTTTCCAAGTAATGTGGATTGGTTGCCAAGTAATAGAGATTGGTTGTCAAGTAATGGAGATTGGTTGCCAAGTAATAGAGATTGGTTGTCAAGTAATGGAGATTGGTTGTCAAGTAATGGAGATTGTTGTGGAGATTGGTTGCCAAGTAACGGATATTGTTTGTAATAATTGTTTTGAATGACCAAATTGGTAGTAAAATTGGTTTGTCAAGCAGCGGAGATTTTTTTTGTCAACTTTCAACGAAGAGATAACAACACTCCCTGTTTTTCTTTTCGTCGCCCACATTTATCTGGCTTGTTCACCATTGTTTACTCCAGAAACATGTAAGACGCGTGAATTCGTATAGCGTAGTACGACGCACCGATATCTTCGTTTCCGGTAAATCATTCCGCACAGGACATGTTCTTCCATTGTCCGGATGTTTGCAGTATCCGGATCAGGTAGTGTCCGTTTTCCTGTTTAATCATCTCATTATAAAGTGCACAAATTGTGTCTCCCGATTTCTTAGTACTGTCAGTATAAGTGTGTATAATCCAGTAATGAAGAAAGTAATATAAAAAGGACAAACTGAAGGAATTGATTTCCAGCTCGAACATTAAAAACATTTTGATTTTGTTTGATAGATACATGTATTTCCTTAGTAACCCATTCACACATTTAAGTGTGTGTGTCGGTAACAAAAGATATGAAATTTAAGTCAACACTTATGGATAAGGTAAAGAAAAAGAAAATAGATGTCACTGTCAAATATTGTAAAGTATACACTTATTTGCTGTTGGTAAATTCGTTGCCATGAACAGAAGGAAAAAACCCAAACCTACAGTTAACTAAACATATTGGTAGCCTCATCCGATATACGGCTGGTAGTTTAGAAAAAAAAATGTTAAGAAATATACGACTGGTAGTTTTGACCGGATTGTCTGCCGTAGTTGTTCTACCCTCCGCCAGGCTTCGCTTCAAAAATAGGCATTTAGGCATGTGATGTTTGTACGAGCAGATTGATAATCATGTATCGGCCTGTCGGTAATGACACAGAACATAAATCACACTTAAAGATTTAAGAAAAACCTAACATACCATTGTGAAAGTTAAAATTTTCGTGTGCGAAACAAATTGCGCTTTGACTTTTGGAACAGTGTTTGTGATGTGGATATTTCGCGGTTTGAGTATTAGATCCATAGTTACGGCGTAAATATTTTTTCGAGCTTTTACCCTCCCAAATATTTTTTGTTGTTGTAGACATTTTCGCGCGTTTTGACAATACAAACTGTTTTTGTGATGTGGACATTTTTCGCGCTTTGGATCTTCAATCTATTTTTGAGGCGCAAATATTTTCGCGCTTTGAGTCTGCAATCTTTTTTTTTGCGGCGTAAATATTTTCGCGCTTTGACTCTTTAAACTGTTTTCGGGATGTAAATATTTTCGCTTTCGCAATACTGCTGTGATATATATATAACATGGGCCACATTCGTTTATCGCGTGCCAATAGGTTTGACGAGAGATATACCTGAGTTATTCGGATCTAATGCCGCTTGCAATTGCAAGTCCGTCATCGGCCCGAATTTTCTCTTGTCCCTACAGCAGACTGTTTAAATTTTAATAGATGTCTGGACATCCATCTTGCCGTTATGTCCCGTTATGTGTTCGGGTGCTCGGGATAGTTCGTCGGGCCGAGGGGCTAGTCCGTCATTTATCTCTGCAATGTAGCCCAAGTTTCCTCTGGCCCTGACACTAAAACTTAGACATTTTGACAGATAGATGTCTGTGTGGGAAATCTATTGTCAAATTGTCTAAGTCTAGTGTTGTAGACAGACTCGGGATAGTCCGTCGGCCCGCGCGGCTAGTCCGTCATTTATCTCCGCAATGTAGCCCACATTTCCTCTGGCCCTTACACCAGACTTAGACATTTTGACAGATAGATGTCTGGTGTGGGACATCTATCTGTCAAACTGTCAAAGTCTGGTGTTGTAGACAGACTCGGGATAGTCCGTCGGGCCGAGGGGCTAGTCCGTCATTTATCTCTGCAATGTAGCCCAAGTTTCCTCTGGCCCTTACACCAGACTTAGACATTTTGACAGATAGATGTCTGGTGTAAGGGCCAGAAGAAACTGTGGCTGTTCTTAATCAACAAGCAGACCCTTCCAATTCGGGGACAACGCAATTTCCATGCAATATATATTTGTATCTCACAATGTGAAGGTATTTCATTGTTGACAATCGGGTTTAGGCTGTAAAACTATACGGTAGTTGTATCAAAAGAAAACATACTTTAAAGATAAAACATCTGATCCAAGAATGTAAATGTTTCAATCCAACAACCTAGCGGAATCGGTAAAGGACTTGCAGAATAAGCCTTCAACAATGAACACCACAGGGACCCGAGAATTTGTTACAGCTTTATATAGACCTGACCTAATAAGGTATTGAGAGGAATTTTACACGTTTAATGGGTTAATATCTCGGTAAATATGCCAAACCCTTTTCACGTTAAGAGGTTTAGATCAATTTTCGATAAAAAGTAGATCTTAACCCCTAAACCGTGTAAAATTACTCTGAACACCTTAGTTTAGGTCAAAATATAGGTGTAACAAATCATCAGGTCCCTGTGGTGTCACCTATACGCTTGTGAATTGATTGAATTATATCGTGTGGAAAGAATGGTTCAAATTATGAAGACAGTCCATGTTTGGCTCGACAGTTTATAATATTATAAAAATAACGAGCGCGAATCTGTCGCACGTGTGACGAGGATGGGTGTGTCCATATATATACAAATAGGTATGTGGCATTGACGCTGAATACAGCGCCACGCGACAAATATATACATAATCATTCATTTACACAACATATGCTTTCCACTGATTTGTCATTTCATTGTCTATATAAAATAGGAAACAAATTGTTCTTAGCGGGGTCAACTAGAATACTGAAAGGTGAATATCCTTATATGGGACATTCAACATTCCCAAATATGGTCAAAGCCAGAACGAGGCTCTAGATATGACGCACTGAATCCGTACTTATTTTAAATATAGGAACTTTGAGCTTCGTGTTCATAGTTTTAAAAAGAGTTGGAGGCAAAAGACTGTGTATAATTTCAACGAAAACATAGAATTTCAATCAAAGGAAACTTTCCGTCATGGCCGAGGATGATTTAGCTGCTTTAGTTGTGGACAATGGGTCCGGAATGTGTAAAGCTGGGTTTGCGGGAGATGACGCACCCAGGGCTGTGTTCCCGTCCATCGTAGGTCGTCCAAGACATCAGGTATTTCTAACACTTATAAAAAAACGTACATGGAAATTTAGCAAGACTCTTAGAACAAGATTTAAACTATTATTACTAAACCATAGTGCAATCTTTTAAACGTGTCACTTTCAAAAAAATTGTTCGGGAAACAAGTTAATATGTTAAAATATTAAAAAAAAACTGAAAAAATACAACTGTCTTAACAATAACTGAAGAACCGGGGTTGCAGAATTTATTATATTTATTTAATAAGAAAAAAAGAAAACCTGAAATTAACTGAAGAAACACAATTGTATTCACGTGGTGACCAAACATGTATTGGTTAACATCAAATAATGAAAAACATATCTTACAACTTCCTTTAAAGACCAGACGTATGCATATGTACTTGTATTCATGAAACATTCTTGTTCTAGAACTCCGATTTCTGACTCAAGGCCAATACCTTATTCCGATCTTCAATTATTGAAATATCAGAATTTTAAAATTGTATGTTGGAACTTAAATTTGAAGACAAAAATATTTTTTTCAGTGCCATGATTTCACTAAAGACTTCAGAATTAATAATGTTGCGTCATATCATTAGGTCACAGAAAAAGTTCGTTTGAGCGCAGAATTCATGTTTGAGCATGAAAATAGTTTCCTGAATATGGGGCCTGATTTATACAGGAAAGTAAAGATTTAAACGTTATTTAAGCAATATATGTTTTATAGAAAGGGGCTGTGGTCCTTAAATTCGTGTTACTATAGGTAATAAACTAAAACAAATCCCTACATTTTTTAAAAAATATTTGGCCACATTAGAAACCCATGTTTTTGGAGCATAACACCATTTATAACAAGCATACTTATATTTACAATTTGATGGAGTAGCTATGTTCTTGTAACTCACTTGAATCATGTCAAACGATCAAAAGGTCAGATGTTAACATCGCAAACAGTATTTGGCTTTAAGTCTTTTTATTTTTATTGCTAAATCATTTACAAAATAATATTTTATTGATAATTATAAACAAATAAAAAAGTTAGGCTTGGGCATGAGAACGGCTTCATGAATACGCGCTCTGCTTGCTTGTAGCTCGCTTGTAACTGCGACATGGTAAAAATGTAAAGTGCACAAATTTTAAACAGTTTTCCGCTTGAAGTTAATCCAAATCACGGACAAAATGTTATATTTCATTTATTTATCACTGGACCTAGAAATTGTGTTTGAACACAGAATCTGAATTTGAGCAGGAAAACGGTTCATGAATACGGGTCAAGGAGTTCTTGGAACTGCAAAGTCAAAATGTTGTCACAATCAGATCAGTGACGTCACACTAATGGCACCTGACCAAAATGTATACTCCATGCATTGCAATGGCGAATGTAGAAGAAATTTAACATATAAACTTACCTATACATTTTCGTTTGTTTCAAACTCATGCCAGAGGTATTTCTGTTGGAAGTTGACTGCAATTTAATCGCATTAGACCGCTTTATCTACTTTCAGATATTATTGAAAGTTAAAAAAAATATATATTTAAAAAATGAAACAGTTATTAGATCTACTCAGATAAAATGGAGGATACACCTGAATGATTTAGTGTGCTTTGTCCTCATGGCTCCTCTGTGCAACATCTTAAATGAAACTGGTAATCAATTTACTATCTACATTAAATTTAACTAGCACTGAGTATGTATTGTATGTCTACTCAAAATGCAACCGGAAGCGGAGTGGATCACAACGATGTCACGGCCTACAACGAACCAAAGTGAAAATATCGGCTCGAAAGACTCTCATTTGCCTAATAAATATACAGGACTTAAAGCGTATTAATTAGATATGGATAACTAAACTAGGCAGCTGTAACTGCCAATTGATACTATTTTCTAATACACGACAGTTGTTGTTTAAGCAGAAATCACCATATATGGCAGTCTCTATCGAAAGAGCGGAAACTGCCGATCGCATGTAGTAGTCTGAGTCATATCGGAATGGTTCCGGATGTCACACGCGCGCCAAAGGTGACTCTACGCTTAATCTTTTTTGCTCTGCGGTTAAAAATTGTCGTTCTCGAGAATATTATTTCCGATTATTCTAATAAAAAATTATTATTCAGCAAAATTGAAAATTACCCACGACTTTAGGTAGAGCCACGAGAATACACTCTGAGTCTGATGCATGCAAGATACAGTAGCACGTGTAAAGTGCCGGAGCACTCAAGGCAGGGACCTATCATATTAAGCCTAATGACTATATAAATATGAAAAAGGAAAAAGGAAAAACACGGTTATTTACTCGGGATCGACCCCCAACATCCCATTTCATCGCTCTACCAATTAATCTAAAGGACATTTTCACTGGTGAAGATCTCAGATAGTTACCCTATATGCACTACTAATTGAGCCAAATAGAAATTCCATCAAACGATCCTAAAAGGCGACTATAGTTCTGTGTACAATATACATACTTTTTATACATATAGGATCTTACATGAGTTTCCATTTATTTGAATTTTATGAAACTAGTCTTAAGTATTTTTTCAATTTAGCGAGCCATTGGCGAGCAAAAATTCAAAATTCGTGACGAGTTTCATCAATTTCATATGAAATGAAAACGAGTGAAAGATCATTTTTATCACATACTCAAGATTTGTGTCATTTATTCGTGTAAAACGACAATTTTCATGCAACCTTGAAATGTAAAAAGTCGCCATTTTGACTCCATTGCGTAAGTCTATGACGTCATGTACTTGTCCTAGGCGTGACGACAAAACTGAAACAATTGAAACTTTCATCCAATCACAGGGCTGATAGGTCATATTACATCGGTCAATACGCAAGAAATATTACATTGGTATATTCACTGGATAACACAGTACATTATGTGATAAATTCAAATTATGGTAGTCGTGGCCCCACCCCTTAGAAAACATTATTGATTTTTTCCATGACTGTTTTAGGTATAAAATGTCGAGTTGGTGTATTGATTTAGAAACTATAAAAAGGAAATATAAATGTAAGTGTATGAAAGAGGTTTGTCATTCTTTGATCAAAACTATCAATTTATACGAAAACCTGATGCATGTGCCAGTGTAGCCCGAGTTTCCCCCGGCCCTGACACCAGACTTTAACATTTTGACACATAGATATCTGGTGGCCCTGACACCAGACTTAAACATTTTGACACATAGATATCTGGTGGCCCTGACACCAGACTTAAACATTTTGACACATAGATATCTGGTGGCCCTGACACCAGACTTAAACATTTTGACACATAGATATCTGGTGGCCCTGACACCAGACTTAAACATTTTGACACATAGATATCTGGTGGCCCTGACACCAGACTTAAACATTTTGACACATAGATATCTGGTGGCCCTGACACCAGACTTAAACATTTTGACACATAGATATCTGGTGGCCCTGACACCAGACTTAAACATTTTGACACATAGATATCTGGTGGCCCTGACACCAGACTTAAACATTTTGACACATAGATATCTGGTGGCCCTGACACCAGACTTAAACATTTTGACACATAGAAATCTGGTTACCCTGACACCAGACTTAAACATTTTGACACATAGATATCTGGTGACCCTGACACCAGACTTAAACATTTTGACACATACATATCTGGTGACCGTGACACCAGACTTAAACATTTTGACACATAGATATCTGGTGTCCCTGACACCAGACTTAAACATTTTGACACATACATATCTGGTGACCCTGACCCCAGACTTAAACATTTTGACACATAGATATCTGGTGGCCCTGACACTAGACTTAAATATTTTGACACATAGATATCTGGTGGGCCTGACACCAGACTTAAACAGTTGACACATAGATATCTGGTGGCCCTGACACCATACTTAAACATTTTGACACATAGATATCTGGTGGCCCTGACGCCAGACTTAAACATTTTGACACATAGATATCTGGTGACCCTGACACCAGACTTAAACATTTTGACACACAGATATCTGGTGGCCCTGTCACCATACTTAAACAGTTTGACACATAGATATCTGGTGGCCCGGACACCAAACTTAAACATTTTGACACATAGATATCTGGTGTCCCTGACACCAGACTTAAACAGTTGACACATAGATATCTGGTGGCCCTGACACCAGACTTAAATATTTTGACACATAGATATCTGGTGTCCCTGACACCAGACTTAAACATTTTGACACATATATATCTGGTGGCCCTGTCACCAGACTTAAACAGTTTGACACATAGATATCTGGTGGCCCTTTCACCAGACTTAAACATTTTGACACATAGATATCTGGTGCCCCTGACACCAGACTTAAACATTTTGACACATAGATATCTGGTGACCCTGACACCAGACTTAAACATTTTGACACACAGATATCCGGTGACCCTGACACCAGACTTAAACATTTTGACACACAGATATCTGGTGGCCCTGTCACCATACTTAAACAGTTTGACACATAGATATCTGGTGGCCCTAACACCAGACTTAAACAGTTTGACACATAGATATCTGGGGGCCCTGACACCAGACTTAAACAGTTTGACACACAGATATCTGGTGGCCCGGACACCAGACTTAAACATTTTGACACATAGATATATGGTGGCCCTGACACTAGACTTAAATATTTTGACACATAGATATCTGGTGGGCCTGACACCAGACTTAAACAGTTGACACATAGATATCTGGTGGCCCTGACACCAGACTTAAACATTTTGACACATAGATATCTGGTGGCCCTGACACTAGACTTAAATATTTTGACACATAGATATCTGGTGGCCCTGACACCAGACTTAAACATTTTGACACTTAGATATCTGGTGGCCCTGACACCAGACTTAAACATTTTGACCCATAGATATCTGGTGGCCCTGACACTAGACTTAAATATTTTGACACATAGATATCTGGTGGCCCTGACGCCAGACTTAAACAGTTGACACATAGATATCTGGGGGCCCTGACACCAGACTTAAACATTTTGACACATAGATATCTGGTGGCCCGGACACCAAACTTAAACATTTTGACACATAGATATCTGGTGGCCCGGACACCAAACTTAAACATTTTGACACATAGATATCTGGTGGCCCTGACACCAGACTTAAACATTTTGACACATAGATATCTGGGCCACAGGAAATCGGGCAATTGCCACTGGAAGCTTCAAACCGGGGAGATTCTACCAAATGATCGCTCAGAGGCCACTCCCCACCCCATGTCTACAAGCACAGCTTTAAACTATACGAGGAACCAACGAGATACTACTTGTAACAGAAAAGAAAGTGGTGTGCTTCCGCTGGGGACCGAACCAGTAACCCCCAACCCCCGCAACCCCGCTCTGTCATACATAAATAGAGACTAAATGGCCAATTACAAGAAAAATACTAAATTGATTTAAAACAAAAATCTTCCGGATAGAAACAGATTTATTTCACAAACAGAGGTTGCCAAACAAATTTTCAAAAACAGAGGTTGCCACATTTTCGAAAATATGTTTAAAAAAGCAAACAAGATTCAGTTGGTTTCATTAATATACTGTAGAATAAAAGCATTTTGAGAGTCTTTAAATCATAATTGTAATGGAATTTTCTGAATTGGTAAATTCAGTTAAAACAGAGGAAACACCAGCCCTTTCGTCTTTAACGCGATTTTCTTCTTCTTCATCTCATTCATTCTTGTGACGTAACAATTGTCTTGAAGATGTTGTTGGATTGTTGGTTGTACAGGGTTTGACGTCCTGTCAACAGCTAAGGTCATTTAAGAACGTGGCACCATGTGTGTAATGTATGTGTGCATGTGTGTTAGTTCGCTGGAGATAGGGTATGTTGGCGTATTTACCTCCTTATGATAGCGCGCATCTGATGCCGACTTTGGAGTGCTATCTCACTGAAATACCATGTCGAAGGCACCCAGCACAGCATTCCGCCCGGTTACGTTATTTCGTCTTTTCGTATTGCAGAGTTATCTGCTCTTGTGGGCAGGGATTGATTGTTACGTCATTTGTTTGTAAGAGTAACGTCATATTTTTTTGTGAAAACGACGTAATTTTCTCAGCTAAACTAATGACGTAAGAGCAGATAACTCTGCAATACGAAAAGACGGAATACTGACAACGGGTGAACCAGTTGTTGCCATTCCCCTAAATGCTGAACGTTCATGAACACATAAAACGTCACAGAGGGCTACAGGTATACAGAGCCACACGATAGTCTTGGATGCCAATCCACCACAAATCAAAATGTGCCGAAAGCTGTCTTAACGGTCAATCAACTCAACAAGGCTGCACGTGACCACGCGGTCCCGGTCTATAAAAAGAACGAAAACGAAACAAACACACATACACACGCACAAACAACAGGGTCACAGAGGGCGACACGGTAGAACATGGCAAAACGAGTGTGTCAAGACGCGGAATTATTTTAAAGAGAAAAAAATAGAAAAAAAGAGGTTATTATGGGAGGATGTAAATTTCATGCTGTTCTGCGTGAATCAGACCAGTTTCGGATTCATCAATATCACATTTGCCCACCAGAACATTGACTAAAATCTCAAATTCTGCATAAGTCGCCTCATACGACCATTCGTTTGAATACTGGATATTTGCAATGTAATTGTATGTTTGTTACTGTTACTTAGACTTGTTACTTCCGGTACCATAACTTACCATTTACATGCAATCTATGATAATATTTATTTCAATCGTGATATGTAAATGTGTTTTCAGGGAGTGATGGTTGGTATGGGACAGAAGGACAGCTATGTCGGCGATGAGGCCCAGAGCAAGAGAGGTATCCTCACCCTCAAGTACCCCATCGAGCACGGTATTGTCACAAACTGGGACGACATGGAGAAGATCTGGCATCACACCTTCTACAACGAGCTCCGTGTGGCTCCTGAGGAACACCCTGTCCTTCTGACAGAGGCTCCCCTCAACCCCAAGGCCAACAGGGAGAAGATGACCCAGATCATGTTTGAGACCTTTAACTCTCCCGCAATGTACGTGGCTATCCAGGCTGTGCTGTCCCTGTACGCTTCCGGTCGTACCACAGGTATCGTCCTCGACTCTGGGGATGGCGTCAGTCATACAGTGCCAATTTATGAAGGTTACGCCCTTCCTCACGCTATCTTGAGGTTAGATCTCGCTGGACGAGATCTTACGGATTACCTCATGAAAGTTCTTACGGAACGTGGGTATTCCTTCACAACCACAGCTGAAAGGGAAATCGTCCGGGACATCAAGGAGAAGCTGGCGTTTGTAGCATTAGACTTTGAACAGGAAATGCAGACCGCAGCAACTTCATCAGGTCTCGAGAAAAGCTATGAATTACCAGACGGTCAGGTCATCACCATTGGCAACGAAAGATTCAGATGTCCAGAAGCTCTCTTCCAACCAGCATTTTTGGGCCTGGAGAATGCTGGCATCCACGAAACAGCTTATAACAGTATAATGAAATGTGACGTCGACATCCGTAAGGATCTCTACGCAAACATAGTTCTTTCCGGCGGAAGTACGATGTTCCCTGGGATAGCTGACCGAATGCAGAAGGAAGTTACTTCACTGGCACCTCCGACCATGAAAATTAAGATAATTGCTCCACCAGAACGGAAATACTCGGTCTGGATAGGAGGCTCCATCTTGGCTTCTCTGTCCACCTTCCAACAGATGTGGATCAGCAAACAGGAGTACGACGAATCCGGTCCAAGCATTGTTCATCGTAAATGTTTCTAAACGTCTGAACGACCATGATCAAACTATAAATGACCATTATATATAATTGATCTTATCTTGTAATATTGAATTCTACAGATTGACTGTAATCATATTCATATAATCATATCTATACGTATCAAGATGAAAATACGAAATAAAAAAAATATTCGACGTTAAACTTTTTGTTTACCTGTATTGAAAAAAAAACATTTTCGGTTAAACTGTTCTTAAGTTGTGTATAAATACAGTGACGGATCCAGAGTTTTTTTTTACAAAGTCAGCTTCGTATGAAAACAAAAACAATTAGGCCTGAAGAGACACTGTATGTTCCCATAGGGATGCCTACAGTCTGCTGGAAAATCTTGACACCGAGTTCAACAAAAATACTGTCAATCTAAAAATATCAACCTCGGTATATATCATTTTGGCCTTTGTTGTGCTTTCACAAAATATGTTCAAAAATTGTTTACAAGCGCATATTCGCCTTTCCTTGAAAAGAAAACTCTACATAAAAGAGAACGTAGACGTTCCTTCAGTTTGGTATGAGGTGTGATTAGTGTAAAGGGTCGAAAAGTAAAAAGGTTTGACAGAGGAAACATGTTTTCAGAAAAGGATGATCCTCTTCTAGAGTATACATTGTCATAATACGATTGTAAAACTGATTTAATGGTACGGAAGATGGCGCTGAGAAGGATGGTAATGGTAAAATTGGACAACAAGAAGAGTCAGCGGTAAAATGTTGCTTATGAGGATTATTGTGAAGTTTCGGTATCCATCACAAACGAGGCAGGTCCGCATCCTTATCATGAGTAGGTATTCGGAAAAATTGTAACACAGAAGCGTGTTTAGCTAGTATTTCGTCTTTCGAAAAAAATGGAAAATGCATAGGCAGGGGTTTCTTGATTATCGAGCAAATCTATATTTGTTTGCTAGCTGGCAATGTAAAAGTGATTGCAATAAAGGAAGGTTATAAGATGCCTTGTCTGAAGACACAACCAAATATCTATCATGCTGACCGGTGAGTGCGTTTTGGACATCGGGGCTAAGAAATAATGGTTTATGTTTTGATTTCATTTTAGATGTCAAGCATCTAAAATTTGGCAAGGCACACTTATGATATTATGTTTTTGGACTGCACAGAATATTAATCATGATAAAACTTGAATATGTATGCTTAATTAAGAGAGTATTAATGTAAAGGACCGTAGCTGATGAATTCCATCCTCAGACGGTTCCTCATGTATATGACTTGTCTGGAATTAATTAAAGAAAATAAAGATAAAATAAAAAGGAGTCTCCGGTTTGAATTTGCAATGCATTTGGTACGTAGCACAAACAATTAGGTAACTCACATTGATAAATACTATATATTTCAAACACAAATACGCTCTATTGTAATAGTTTCCTTTTCGACAGAACCGTAAGTTATGTAAACAGCCATTCCGGATTGATCGTATCCAAACTCCGAACGGTAAATCTTTGCAAAATTTCTTTGATGTTCTGGATGCTTCTATGTTTTGTACGTGACAAAAGCCGCTTCCCCTGATCAGGTACTACAGTTGACTTGACACAATCATTATAGCTGGACCAAGTTCATTATGTTTCAAGGGGTGAGACTTATTTACACACCGCTGAATCAAAACTTTGATGTTATTTCTTTGATCTACGTCACAGTCAGTAGTGCTTCGGCCGTTCCTCCAATCAGCTGCCATCTACCTGATTTTGTGAATGGGATTTTTTTCTGATATTACGAAGAAAATTATGCGTGTTCTCCAATTGAATGTGCTACATTAAATAGTTCAGATTCTTTAGAATGAAATTATGTTCGTGATCGTCAAGTCTTTCTTTTTTTTAAACTTTGTTATTTTCATCAACGAAATCACAGAATTTGTATGCATTGACTTTCTTTGTATTTCTTCAGTTTCTTAAAACTCGGATGATCAACAGAAATGTGTATTGATCTTTTCAGGTAAATCCAAAGATTGATCTATTGAGCAAAGCCTCATAAAACAACTTCCATGAACAATACAATTCTATTAAAACATCGGACGAATATGAAAATAATCCAGATGTTTTAGGTGTGATAAGCAGACCGGCTGATTTCAGTGCAGAATACAAACAACAATACAGGAACGGTTTAAAAACAGTTAAAAATAAGAATTTACGAAATGCATAAAAAACATGCATAATGAATCTTTGTTGCATTGAATAATTTCTTAAACTGAATTAATGTAGTCAAATCCCTTATCACTTGCAATTATACATTTCCACAAATACAATTATAATTGTGATAAAATGTTGAATTACGATCATACAAGTATAATTTATTTACAATCAATTGCAAGTGTACATATGACCTCCAATTCCGTCTTTGCGTATTGCAGAGTTGTCTTCTCTTGTGAGCAGGTATTGATTGTTACGTTATTGGTTTGTGAGAGTAACGTCATTAATTTTTGAGAAAACGACGTAATTTTCTCCCTCAAACCAATGACGTAACAATCAATACCTGCTCACAAGAAAAGATAACTCTGCAATACGCAAAGACGAAAAATAGTATGCATACTAACCTTACATAAAACGTTTTTCAATTCACCGACAGTCTGTCCCTCTGTCATGGTGAACCCATCAGACGGCACTACTGACTGTGTCAATGATCAAAGAAAATAGTAAAATTAGCGTCAACCCTTAAATACATAATGCATTTGGTCCAAACTACACAATGTATACACATTATGTAAGTTCGACTGCTGTACCTGAGGGGGAAACGGCTTTTGTCACGTATACAAAGTAGCACCCGAACTTCATTTCATTTTATTTTATTTCAGTAAATTTGATTAAAAAATCAAAAGGTTTGGACAACAGGCTATGCCTATATTAGTCCTCTCCTAGCTAGAATTACAAACACATATAAACTATATAGAAAGAAAGAGAGAGAAATATTACATATACAGGACCGGTAAATAACTGACTAACTGATGCATTTAGGCAAACGATTGGTTATAACCGGTATTGATAATTAATGATCAATAAAGGATTATTGATCTGTGAAGTAGTTATAGAAATAGTGATGCAAGGGGAGTAGCCCCCACAGACGTTTCAACTATAAAGATCCACCCAGTGTTAGACAGCAAGAGATCCACAAGCTTCTAGGGATTCTGACCATACCAAAGTAGCACCCGAACCTGAAAGAAATGTTGCAAAGATTTACCGTTCGGAGTTTTGATACGATCAATTCGGAATGGCTGTAACACTAGAAGTAATCTCACTTAAAGAAGTAACATTTAAAAACAAGAAAAGGTCCTCAACACATTTAATCTTTACCTAGTCAGACCGCAGTCCGTAAATAATAGACCTATTCAATACAAAAGCAGGATCAAATCTTCACAGACGAGGAAATAGTTTAAAACAGACGAGTCTACGACAATCATATCTCAATTTGTGTTCATCGCCGATAATACGTTACTTACTATGAGATTTGGTGACCTGATCGCATTCACGTCAACACTGTCAAAATCTATTTATATCATACTTGGAAAATTGAATATACGGATATACAAGGTACATTACTGGACCCACCTGAAGGTAAGAGAGATTAATTTTTAATTGCCAGATTAATATAATTAATAATTCAAGCAAGTGATATCAATATTATCTTTATGATAGAGTTTATAAGGTAACCTTAAAAACTCCACAGCTTGTACGGGTATCTACCCGATACGTTAGATATCATTACAGTTTTCTCGTCCAGGTAAACAACAGCGCCGGTCATGGCCACCTGCTACAGAGGTAGTGACGTCAGTGAAATAGACATGGTATTGATTGATCGACTTGCTCTCTTTACTGATCTCTTCAACGGAAATTAAAGCTCAAAATATTTGTAGCAAGAATAACACAACTAATGTTTATATTTGTAATATGAAATGTAGATTGAATATCAAGTGATTTACACGTATGAATGGAGTCTATGTACTTCCTGTTATTATTGTAAATTTGTGTCAACGTGGGGGTTCTATGGTTGTCTAATCGTGTTTACGTTGAGTTTGAACGCTCTTGAACGCTATAATATAATATACTCTGATTATCTCTATTCCTTGTCCAATCCCACTAACCCCACTGAAGTGATATTTTTGGGGGTGGGGGTCGGGTTGGGGTTGGCGGTCCCTAGTCCAATCCCACTATAGTGATATTAATAAAAAAAATGATGGGGCGGGGG